ATAATAATTTTTTAATTTTAAATTTTAAACCCTCCCCACCCCTTTCCCCCCTTACTCCCCACTCCCTTAAATATAAATTTTATTCTGCAAATTATCATTATTTTGTGAGTGTGCGTGTGAGTGTGTCTGTTTGATAAAACGGGATTTCGTTGCCTAAAGTTTAATTCTTTCCAACTATTAAATATAATAATAATAATAATAATGATAATAAATTAATATTACTTGTACAAATAAAATCATTATCGGTTAAATGACAACGGAAAATGCACAATTTTTTAAAATGTTTTTTTAATTATACCGCGTAACATTTGATGATGGCACAAAAAAAAATTTTTTTTTTTTTTACCATTTTTTAAGCCCTTTGGCGGGTATAATTTTTCCTTTCTTTTCCCCTCCCCTCCCTCCCTTCCCCTCCTCCTTCCTTACTGAAATTTTGTCGCCAAGACAACGTTTAACAACGTATATTAAAATAATTTTTTAAAAAAAAGTACCGTAAATAAAACGTCGTCATTTTTTTTTGTGATAAAAACCGTTAGATTTTCGATTGAATGAATAAGTCAATTTGTATAAAAAAAAAAAATTTTTTTTAAATGTTTTTAAATGTCTTTTTTTTTTATACTAAATCCGTAATTTAAAATTTTTTTTTTTCGCTTCACGATCAAAATAAAATAAATTATAAACGGAAATAAAAAACTATTTGAAGAGTTTAAAAAAAATTTTCCGACACGATTTAAAATTATAAATCATATTATTATTATTATTATTATTATTATTTTCGCGTAAAAAAAATATACGATTCTGCCATATTTTTTTTCCGTTAGTTATTTAGTCAAATTTTTATTTGCCACCTGTTTAAAGTACAAATTTAATTTTTTTACACGCAAAAAATTGAGACCCCCACGCAAATCAAATATTTTTCTTTTTTTTCGAATTTTAAATAATAATAGTAATAATAATTAACAAACAAAATAAAACGCGTGTAATAAATGAAATTTTTAAAATATTTTAAAATTAAACATTTTTTTTTTCTAAAACAAACCGAAGTAGAATATTAATAATAATAATTACGACGAAAAATCAACCTTTTAATCATAATAAATTACACCGCATTAAGTAAAAAAAAAAAATTTTTTTTCGGTTAAATTTATATATAAAAATAATAAATGTAATGATGATGATGATGATGATGTAAAATGGCGCGGAAATGTATTCGAAACCGTTACTTTTTTGCAAGACGATATTCGTGCCGACGTAATGCATACGTACATTTTCTTTTTTTTTTCCTTTTAATATTTTTTGCGTATAAAATTCTCGTGGAAATTTTTATTTACAACGCGATATACATAAAAAAAAAAAATTTAATTTAATAATTCAAATAAATAAAAATATAATAATTTCCTTACGTAAATTTTTTTTTTTTTTTTTGTAACCAGGTTAGGTTAGTTTTTTTTTTAAATTTTCTTTTTTTTTTTTTTTAATCCGATAATAATAAACACGGAATGAAATTTTTTTTTCTTTTTTTTAGTTTCCTTATTAACTATAAAAGATTTTATTTATTTATTTCACACTCGCTTAATAACAATAATAATAAATAAATATAAATAAATAAATAACATTTTTACGGGAGCGTCAAGTCGTTTTAGTCGAAACGTAAAAAATTAAAACGTCATAGAATAAATAAACGATTTTAAACAAAAGTTTATTTATTAATTATTCATTTCGTGAATGATTTGTATAAAAGAGAGAGAGAGAGAGAGAGAGAGAGACAGGGAGAGAGAGAGATGATTTTCTTAGGCGGAAAAATTTTTTTATTAAGAAAAGAAATTTTAAAAAAAATTTCATCGTTTAAATTACGTCGATTTACGCAATTTTTTCGTTTTGTTTCCTCTACCTTTTTTATTTCCGGTTCCGGTTTTTCTTTTCGTTTATTTATGTACACGTGTAATTAAAATTAAATTCGATTTCGTTTAGAAACGTACTCGAATAAAAAAAAAAAAAATTAATAATAATAAAAATGTTTTGGTAAATAAATAAATAAATAAATTTTTTTTTAGTTTTTTAGTTTTAATTCGACACAAGACATAAACGAATAATAAAGTCGAAGGTTAATCGAAATATTCTATTATTATTATTATTATTATTATTTTAAAAATGAGAAGATTATATGAATACAAATAAAAAATAAATAAATAAAAAACCGGTTTTTTTTCGAAAAAAAAAAAATTTTTTTAATAAACGATTCGATGTAAAAAATAAATAAATAGTTTTGGAGTTTTTAATAATATTATTATTTTATTTATTTATTTATTTAATTTTTAAAAAAAATGAATTTCGTCAGTTTTATTATTTTTTTGGATGAAGAGGTTAAACCATTTTGGATTTTATTTAGGAAAAAAAAACGTCGGTTACAAAATTTTTTTTTTTTTAGCCTTTGGGAAATAAACTTTTTTTAAGAATCACGCGCTCCGGTAAAAAAAAAAATTTATATAAAAAGTCAAATGTTATCCTTTGGCAATTATTATTATTATTTTTTTTATCAATTTTATTCAATTGCAGTATAAAAAAAGATTATTAATAATAATAGGATCGATAATAGTAATAATAATAAATGAATTATCTGATAAGTCATTGTTGAAATACCCACGCCTTTAAAAAAAAAAAAAAACATTCAGCAATGATTAAATCAATAATTTTCAGCGAAACGTATAAATCCATAAATTTTCTTAACAATTTTTTTTTATTCTTTTATTCTCTCTCTCGCACACACACACACTCTCTCCCTCTCTCTCACTCTATCGCCCACCCACAATTTCCCACATATTTAATCATTCGCGGTCAGTTTAAACGAACGTAACAATACAAAGTACAATCGAAAATAAATTTCTATTTTTTTTTTTTTTAATCGCGTAAATTTCAAATTTTTTTTATTATTTGTTTGTTTGTTTGTTTGGTGTCGTTGTTTGCATTTTTTAACAAAACAACCGTAGTAACAACAACAATTCTAAAAAAAATATGAATTTTTTAATCCGCCATTTTTTTTTTTTATCCATAAAACAAACAAGCTGAGACGCAACGTTTTTCTACTAAAATTTAATATAAAACTAATTTCGAATCGCCATTTTTTTTTTGTATTTAACAACTTCATATTGTAATAATAATAACAACAACAACAACAACAATTATAATAATAATAATAAACAATTAAAAATCGACAGCCAGACATAGTGATAAGTTAATTTTACATTATTAAAAAGAAAAAACAAGGATAACATAATAAATTATTATTATTATTATTATTATTATACATATAAACTATAACAAATGCCTCAATAGATATTAGATTAATTCCAGTCATTCGGACCGTCTGGAACCACAAAATAATAATAATAATAATAAACGCCCACCGGTTTGACATTCGTTTGCGTGCGTGTGTGTTTAATAATTTTTATATTGATTGAAAGATTTCATTGTTTGACCTTCGTTTTATTATCATCATCATCATCATACCTTTATTGAGAGAATACGGGGTTTATTTAAAAAACAACATTCATGGGTGGTACAATTTCGGTCCTTTTTTTTTTTTTCTCCTTCGAGGTAAAAACAAATTTTTTAAAAAAGAAAAAAACGACATTTTCTTTTTCATTCCCTCTCTCTCTCTCTCTCTCTCTCTCACACACACATTTTTAGAGACAATAATAAAGTTGAGAGTTTCCATATAAAGTAAACATGATGAATTTTTTGTAAGACGAGTGTAATCGAATCGGCATCATTATTATTATTATGCGTAATAAATTTAATTTTATATATATATACTAATTACTAAATTAATTACGAAAGTTTCTTTCTATAAAAAAAAAAAACTAGAATTTTTTATTTAAATTGTTTTAATTTTTTTTTATATAAAAATTATTATTGCAGAATTTTTATAATTACGATGATTTTTTTTTTCTATGGCTTCCAGTTATTATTTATATACTTTTCATTAACATATACGTGCATATGTATGCATATATGCATGCATAGAACGGATTTTAAAAAAAAAAATTAATAATAATAATATTAATTATAATGATGGTATTTTTTTTTAAAGTTAAAATATTCGGTTTCGATTTCGGGATGGGAGAAAGAATCATGTTTTCTATCTCTCTCTCTCTCTCTCTCTTTCTCTCGTATATTTGATTTCGTAATCATAACAGAAGGTTCGATAATAATGCATAAAATAAATAGCGTAAAGACGAGAACGTAAATTATAGAGACTCGACTAAAAAAAAAAAAAATGTACAACACAAAAAGAGTCAACCTCAATTATATATTTTTTTTTTTTTGATAGAGAGAGAGAAAGGTAAAGTGATTTTTTTTTCTTTTTTTTTTAATTCTTCACGATTCGGTTGACAGAACAAAAAAAACTTAAAAGAAGTCCCTTCAGGTTTTTTTTTTTTTGTAGTTTGTAAGTTCGTTAAAAAAATAAATGCATTAAAGAATTTGATAATGTTAATAAAAAAAAAAAAAGGGTAAATTTTTTAGTGGAATCGTTGCGGACGTTGACTCATTTAACGACTGATACAAGTCCTTTCGACGTAGTAGTAGTAATATACCCTGAAAATCCCTTCGGGCTTTAAAAACGTGGATTTCGTTATATATTTTTAACCTCAAGGTAAAAAAAGAGAAAAAAAATTTTTTTCCAACTGAAATTGACGTAACCGCAACGTGCAATAACTGACATTTACTAGAGTCATCAAAATGAGGTTTACCGATATAGTTTTTTTTTTTTTTTTGATGACGTTTGAGAGTATCTTCTTTTTCTATAGATTACATCTTGCCAAAGGTTGTGTGTTGTTATTTTTCAAAATGAAAATGGTTTCCAATGATAAATTTGACTTTTTTTTTTTGTTTGTTTTGGCTTCGAGGAAAACGAGGAAAGGGAGTTGTTGTCATTTGAAATAAAAATTTTTTTGTAAAAAAATAAAAAAATATTTTAATATTAAAAAAAAAACTTACTTTTAAACAAAATACGTTCGACCTGGAGCCGGAGTCACAACAGGCTGAGTTATATTCATAGGATCCGGAATAGTTGAATAAACGTGCCTGGGAGCAGTTGAATAATTGGGCAGCCTGCCATCTATGCTCACATAGCTGTGACTTCCCGCTTGGGTGTAATCGTAATTCTGTGACCCGCTATCTTCTTCTTCTTCCGTTCGCTGAGAAGATCTTTCGGAAACGCAAGAAGATTGCGGCGGCGTCACTGGTATTTGTTGCATTTGTAGAAGGTGAGCACTTTGAAGAGTGCCGCCAGAATACTTGCACCAAGGATCTATATTGGTAGGAGCTGCCGTGTACCTGGCGCTAACAGTCTTTCCATTGCTACTAGTTATGCTTTCCGCATTATTTCTACTAACTGAATTCTTTTTCCCTGACCCCCCGATTGATTTTTTAGAATTATTATTCTTTTTCTTTTTTCTGCAAACGGCATCTGGCATAGCGTATCTCAGCTTTTCCCAAAATCTTTTTTCTCCCCAAGAAATAACCGTGCAAGTTCTCAACAACTCTTGCAACTCGGGATCTAAATTTAAATTTCCCAAGTCTGTTGTGAGTAAGAAAATAATTTTCCTTCTCCGAAGGTGAGGAGGAGTTTGATGAAGAGATGCTTGAAGAGAAGATCTAAATTGAATGTGATCCCATTCGTGCTGTAGAAAACTTAATGAAAATACAAAAACGATTCTTCTCGATGCTTCGGCGGCACTCAATATACTATCGGCTAAAAATGTCGAATCACTCACTAACTCGCGATAATGAAGACACAAAGAATGTCCTTCTTGCTCTAATTCGCACGCCACCACTCGATTCACAAAATCTTCATCTTTAATACTGTATACCAAATAAGCGTCGTAAAGGCGATCTCGTTCCTCAAGAGTTTCAGCTATGGAACTAGAATTTTTGAAAATTCTAATACCGTATTTGGAATGAACCCAAAGAGATACGTCATTCCGAAATATAAAAAATAAAACTGTTAAAAATGAAATGGCTATAACGGCGACAAGTGTTGCAACTAAAAATGGCAAGTATTCCCCGTGGAAAATCACGGTTTTATATATAGAATCACTTTGGGCAACGGATGTGGCCAGGGTGGATTTTCCCGTGTTCGACAAAACAACATTTTGATTACATCTCAAAATGACTTCGCTTAAAGTTTCCCGAACGCTGCTCTCTTTATCCGTGCACCTTAAATTGCTTAATGATAATCCCGCAGCGGCACTATTGTCTCTTATCCAATCTTGCAACTTAGCAACGGATTCGCAATCGCAAGCCCACGAATTTCCATCGACCACGACTCTCGCTATTTTCCCCGAAGTTGGTAATTGCCAGGGAGAAAAGTCAGCTATTTTATTATTATCGACTCGTAATACTTCTAAAGTTTTCATCCCGGCAAAAGTTTTATTACCAACGGATGAAATCTCATTATGATTTAAATACAATTCTCTAAGATTTTCCATTTGTTCGAATTCAAACCCCCTCAGCTCTTGTATTTTGTTGCTTTCCATGTGTAAAATTCTGAGAGATGTCAATCCATTAAAAGTTCTATTGTGTATTGTTTGTATGTTGCTATTATTTAAATACAAAACTTGAAGTTTCTTTTTACCGATAAATACATGACTTCCGAGATCTCCGAAATCGTTTCCATCTAAATAAATTTCGGTGGCATCCATTGGGATTTTGGGTGGAACGCTCGTGTATCCGCTATTTGAACAATCGACGACGTTCGACGCCCATAGCGTGTCGTGATAACAAGTGCAATTTTCCGGACAAGTCATTTCGCAATCGCAAGCATCAAATTCGCAACAGTGGCACAAAGCAAAACAGTGAACTTCGTACGGACAAAGAAATTCGGACGGTTGTAATTCCAAAAGTGGTCTATCCACTCCGTCTCTCGAATGCGAGAGTTTACACATAACCGTGTCTAAATCCATAACTCTCGGATGTTGACGAACGTGACTCAACTGATTAATTCTTTGAAGCCACTCCATGGTGCAATCACAAAAGAAAGGATTTCCACCGATGTAAAATTGGGGTAGTTCCTTTCCCTCAGGAACAAGTTGTAAAACGAGTGCGGCCAAATCGAGTCTTTGAAGTTTGTTACCGTAGAGAACAGCCCTCGTTAAATTTGTTTTGAGCAAAAATGTATTGGGTTTTATTGTTTTAATTTCGTTATCATTTAAAAACACACTTTCTACACTATCGGGAATGGACGTTTCTCCGATTTCTTTTATTTTGTTAAAACTCACGTCTAACATTTTTATTTGTATTCCAGGTCTACGATCGTAATAATAATTGTCTAATTGGGCAATATTGTTTTTATGCATGTCTAACCATTCGAGGCTTTTAGGTAAGAATGAATAATCGAAGTAGGTCAATTGATTGTCGGATACGTTTAACCAATAAAGACTGTTCATGTTTGCAAAAACTCCTTTTATGTCCGTTAATTTATTACCATCAAGACGAACGGCGTGAAGGGTCGGATTCGTGCGAAAAGCATTTTGATCAACGTGTTTTATTTTATTACAGGCTAAATTCAATACCTGGAGAGAAGGTAGAGTAGAAAATGTATCACGGGTTATGTTTTCTATTTCGTTGTCAATCAAACGAAGGCCGTACAATTGTTCCAACCCTTGAAAAGACGTATTCACAATGGTTTTAATCTTATTTTCTGCGAGGTCCAAAGTTTTCAAATACAATAGCGTACCTATACCATTTGGTACGCTTTCCAAACCGTTACCGCTCAAACCGAGATCTTGTAAATTCGTGCAATTTTCAAACGCTCGGTGATGAATGTTCGAAATCCGGTTGTTATCCAGAAAAAGTTGATTGAGCACGTATAATCCGGAAAAGTGATATGCTTCGATACGCGTTAGTTTATTATGCGACAAACTGAGACCGTGTAAATTGCTTAAAGTGCTAAAAGAACCTTCGGAAATTATTTCGATGTTATTATATTCCAAACTGAGGATTTGAAGACTGTAGAGATCTTGAAAAACGTGCGAATCGATGCGAGATATGATGTTATGTGACAAATTAAGTACGACCAACCGGACCAAACCCGAAAACGTATCACGATTCACCCAATTGCTCGTTAATTGATTATTCGATAAATCGAGTACAAGAAGTTGATCCAAACCTTCTAGAAGACCGGGTGCCAACACGCTTATCGAATTATTTTGCAAATGAATTTCTTTTATGTCGCGAGTCGATTGAAAAAGTTCCGGTGGAAGAGCCGTTAAACTATTCGACGATGCATTTAATATTTGTAAAGAAACCAAACCGACAAAAGCTCGATCGGCCAAAGACGTTAATTTATTTTCTTGTAGCAGAAGACGTTGGAGGGAACGTAAACTCGTGAGACCGTTATCCGGCATTTGCGACACTTCGTTTCGCGACAAATCCAAACTTTCCAAACCGATATTACAAGTTCTTCCGGGAGCCGATGGCCCGTTACCCCAATCGGAAAAACCGAGTTCGAATATTTCGTGTATTCTATTTCGAGATAAATTTAACGCCGTTAAACCCTGAAGAGGACAGAAAACGTGAGACGGAAAAGTCCATATGTTATTGTCGGATAAATCTAAAAATCTCAATTCTTGCAAACCGTTAAAACTATCCGGTTGAAATTCCATGCTCATGGCAGACCAATCCGTATTATGAGTTTTTATTGTCAGATGTCTCAAATCGGTCAAACCCATCAAAAAAGATGATGGAATGTACCGGATTTTACAATATTCTATCGATATCGACCGAAGGTGACGTAAATGACTTAGAAAACCTCCGGTATTGCTTTCTAGAGAACTTTCGAAAAATAAAACATCGCTACAAACTAATACGACCGACGTGACGAGTTCGATTTGAGATGATGACAAATTACTAAAAGTTTTTTCTGCGCTTCCGATGGTTCTTAATCTGCACGAAAGTACGGCTCCATCATCATCTTCAACCGATGGTATCCATTCGCAATCCGGTGGTGGCTCATCTATTTTTGCCACCATTCGACCGTTGACCACGATCCCGAGGCAAAATAATAAAATTACGACTAGCATATTAAATATTATCATTATTATAATTATATTTATTATTATAAATTTTTAAAAATTTTAAATAATTTTATATTTGTTTTTTTTTTACACGTAATCATATTATTAATAATAAATTTTTCATTTATTTTTAAACACCATTTTATTATTAATATTAATAATCACTAAATTCATTTCCGGTTTTAAAAAAAAAAACTTTTTTTTTTTTTTAAATAATAATAATAATTTTTTTATTTGTTATTAAACGCGGTTATATACGAAAAAAATATATCACGATTTAAAACTTGAACTTACATAAACATGTAAAAAAAATAAATAATAATAATAATACTCATTCGTAAATCCAACACGACCGACTCCACGAAATCAACTGAAATTTATTTCGTTACAAAAATTTGTTCCATGGAAAAAAATTAAAAGGGGGGAATTCGAAAAGCTTTTTAAGTTGTCCGCGAGGCGGCGTTGCTTTGCAGTATGTTTTTTTTAGTTGAGGCGCGGCTTCAACTAAGTCCCACCTTATTTATAGAGTTTATAGTTGAATCATTTTTTTTATAGTTTCTCTTATATATATATATTTAAAATAAATTTTTAATGGTGGTTTTGTAAATTTTTTTGGCAACGTTATAATGTAGGACGATACTAACGAAAGCCACACACACACAATTTTTCTCCTCCTTTTTCTAACTAATAATTATTAAACTTTTTTTTTTTTTTTGTAAATTCCATGGCCATAACGAATAAATAAATTGTTATTATTTTTTTTAAGAATAAGGTTACATCATTTTTTTTTTTATTTAAGTCAGTTACTCATAGGGGAATTTACGTATATTAGTAATACGAATTTCTTTTTCATAACATCGTTAAAACTCGATAAGCAATACGTACGTAATTTGATTATTGTTATTAATGATGGCGAAATTAAATTTTAAATCGATAATTATTATTCTTTTTTTTTGTTAAGTCGGTATTTACTGCGTTGATTTATTCATGACAATTGTGGATAATAAAATATATTCTACGTTTTTGTCGTAAGAAAAAAAAATTAAATAACTTTGTTTGCTTTTCTCGAGGATCCATTAAATTTATTTTACTTAAATTTTGTAATAATACACCGATTATCAAGAGGCTTAATTATCATCATTTACTAAAAATATTATAAATTAAAACATTTCCAAAGAGTGAATATATTTGTTTGAGGTTTGTAAGGGTAAATTATAACTAAATTAATAATTTTTTGTTTAAAGAAAACAATTTTAAACACAATAACAACAAAAATGATAATAATAAAAATTGTTTGTAAAGTTTTAAAACAGACATTAAAACCGCGCTAATTTTACTCTATGACTTTTTTTTTCTTTTACATTTTTTTCGAACACATGTTCGTTAGAAAAACATGTTCGTAAATACGTCACGTTAGTTTTATTTTATGAAAATCTGTAATTTTATACAGAGTTTTTATTACAGTAGGGGGAAATGACTTCAAAAGGTAAGGTTTTTTAAATTAAATTTTATTTTAATAATTTAATAATATTTAATACGTTTTGTGTTAATAATTTACCTTATTTCTTATCTTAAAATTGATAAAAATTATTTATTATTAAAATTTTTTATTTTTGTAGATAGTCATGACCCAGGGTGGAACGACCCACCAATTTTTACTTATGACAAAGCTGCTGCTATTCAGACTGCAGCAGCAACGAAAAAAGGAGTAACACTTAATAAGAGAGTCGCATTTCCAATTGAAGGTAAAATAAACTTACCTCAAAATGAGTCATCAACTAATAATGCATTTAATATTCCTTCCTCAAAGCCCCCTTCTTGTCAAATGCCTCCACTGCCTGTCAAAGTGACACAGTCAGCTTTAAAGTCGGAATCAGATGAAACAAATTTAAATTGTAAAACAAGTAATATTGAAAAAGACAAAATTAATGAAATCAAACAAAATTTTCAAATTGATTCAAACTGTGATAATGAAATTCTCAAAAGATTTAAAATAATGGAAACTATGTGGAATGACGATAAATTAGATAATGATGTGCGATTGAAAATTTTTGAGTTAAGTGAAGGTATGTACAGAAGAATTATTAATAAAATTATTATTATTACTGAGTATTTATATTTAAGTTTACATTTTGTATTTTTGGTTATATGTTTAATAAAATTATTTGCTAAAACTTTTTATTTTGTAGCATATGCAAATAATAATCTAGATTTAGCAAATCGTATTCAACAAGGACTTATGGTAGATAAAATATCTCAATGCAGTTCATGGATGAGCGGAATAAGACAATTAATAAATCAAAAAAGATCCTTTAGTAGTTAGTTAATTGTAAATTAAGTGTTTAAAAAAATTTCAGTGTTTAAATCTTGAATTAAGATAACTGAGAACATTTAATTTTAAAATTTTTTAAATCTTTAATACTTATATTTATTTTAACAAAGTATTATTATTAAATTTTAAAAAATATTTAAATAAATTTTATTACTTTATTTTTTTAAAATTCTTTTTGTATCATCATACATAAATTTATTAAAATTTTAATGAATTTATTTTTGTAGAAAATTTTTTAAAAAATATTTCTTGTTTTACAAAACTTTGCTGATAATGCTCATAATTAATTTAAGTATGAAAATTATAGTGAAAGTTTTGTCGAAAAAGGATTTTTAAAGAATATTTTTTAATTTTATTTAAAAAATATTTATTGACTTTATAATCAAAAAGGCATTGCAAATAACATCATTTTTATTAATTTATTACAAACTAAATTTAAAACAATATTTTATACTTTTTTTACTTTATTTATGTTTAGTAATAGAACATATAAGTTTCAAAATAATAGTCAAATTCTCAAATTTTTTGTAACGTTTTTTTTAACTCTATGGTTTCAAATAAAATTGTCATAGATTATTTTTCATTTTAAAGTTGACTACATCGAGTTTTACTCTGTGGTGTAAACTCATAGACATATATATATTTTCGTTTACCGTAAACAGTTGCGGCTTTGAAATATACGCTAAATTAGTATATTTTCTCATTGTGCCCTTTTCGAAATGGCTGATCCTTCTGGACCTACCGTTATGGAAGTAGATGATAATAATAAAAATGTTATGGCTTCTTCTGGTACTGTTGGAAGTGTGTCTGTATCCTTACATCCTTTGGTTATAATGAATATATCAGAACACTGGACTCGATTAAGAGCACAAGAAGGAACAGTTCAGCAAGGTAAAAAATAAAACGAATTTTAAATAAATTATGGTCAAATAAATTTTAAAAAAAATTTTTTTTTTCGTTATTAGTGATAGGTGCTGTAATTGGTAAACAAAAAGGTAGAAATCTAGAAATTATGAATTCTTTTGAACTAGTCTATAATGTAGTTGAAGGTGATGTTATAATTGATAGAGATTATTATTCTACAAAAGAAGAACAATGTAAGTTTTTAAATTTAATGTAGTTTTTTAAAATCAAACTTTAATTCATTTACAGTGTTTACAAATAATTCAATGTTTAATAACAATCGATTTTCATGATATTTTTTTTTTACAGTTAAACAAGTATTTTCAGACATGGACTTTTTAGGATGGTATACAAGTGGAGATACTCCAGATGATAAAGATATTAAAATACATAAACAAATTTGTGAAATCAATGAATCTCCCGTTTTGTTAAAACTGAATCCTATGGCTAAACATAGTGACGTAATTATAGTTTATGATTATCACTCATTATTAATTAATGCTTTTTTAAAAATTTTACGATATTTTGTAATAATTTTTTTTAGCTACCAGTTACCATGTATGAATCTGTTATTGATTTATTAAATGGAGAGGCAACAATGTTGTTTGTTCAGTTGCATTATACATTAGCCACTGAAGAAGCAGAAAGAATCGGAGTTGATCATGTTGCTAGGGTTTCAACAAATGAAGCTGGGGAAAGTTCATTAGTTGCTGAACATCTGACAGCACAACATTCAGCAATAAAAATGTTACATAGTCGAGTAAAATTAGTTTTGGAATATGTAAAAGCAGTTCAAGAAGGAAAATTACCTGAAAATAATTTAAATCATCATGAAATATTAAGAGAGGCTTACAGTTTATCACATCGATTACCCGTACTACAAACATCACAATTTTCTATCGATTTATATAATGTGAGATTCACAATTTAAAGTTTTTCAAAATTTAATTTTTAGTATTTATATTTTAATTACAAATCAAATTTTTTTTTAGCAATGCAATGATGTTGGACTAATGGCATACCTTGGAACAATGACTAAAGGATGCAATGATATTAATCAACTTATTAACAAATTCAATGTTATTTATGATAGACAAGGAATTGGAAGGCGAATGAGGGGACTATTTTTTTAAAAAATTTAAATGAATTATATACATTGTGATTCAAAAGGTCAAATTGTTTCCTTTTAGAAAAACCAAAAATAAGTTTTAAAAAAAAAAAACCAAGAGTTTCAATCAAAAGACTAATTTAATATAAAGATTGTTTAACAAATAGAAATAATTTTACTATAAATGCAGTAAATCATATTAAAAAACTCAGAGTCAAGTATTACAATTTTTTCATCAGGTTTTTTTTATTTTTCATATCAAAGGTTTGTCTATAATTAAGTAATAGAGATTTTTTTACAAAAAAATAAAATTAAAATTTTACAAACAAAATTTTTTTTTAAAAACGTTAATCTTACAATCAAGTGAATAAAAAAAAAAAAATTTGACTTTGTAAATGTTTAAATAATTATTTAAAATTACAGGCAAGTAGTGTGTATAACACTTTATATTATTTCAATAATATTTATAGGCCAAATATATTATTATTAATATAATTTTTATTTTTTAAATTGCAAAAAAATTTTGAATTTTAGAAATGTTCAATTACATTAAATTATTGTCGATAAAATTTAGGAAGTGAATTTTAAAAAACATTCAAGAGAAACTAATTTTAACATATAGTTTATTTGAATTAAGTCATTTATATTAATCGAGTAAGTACCTTCATTTGATACTTTTTTATTTTTCTGAAATTTGTACAATTTTTATTTTAATTCTACAATTAGTCTATAAAAAGACAAATATAAAAAAAAATAATTTGTATTAATTTACAATTATTTTGTCAAGTTATCATAATTTAAACTTGGTGGCCATTGTAAAGCCACTTCTTCCACGTCTAAAGCTAAAATATCTGTTTCTTTTTCTAAAATTTCAGATAAATTTGGTGTGGTTCTTCCAAAATCTCCATGAACAAATTCTTTTATGTAAGTTCCAGCACCAACTTTTAATGACAATTTAAAAAATAAGTGATTATTTTTAATTTCATGAAAGTCAGCTTTCAACCAGTAAACAGTTCTTGGTCGAACAGCAAGTGGACGCCTATGAAGAACTCTAATGGGTGTTCTTTGATTTATAACTAAATCTTTTATTTGACTTAAATTGTTTAATTTTTCTTTTATTTCAGGGATTTCATCATTATTATCTAATTTGATGAGGCAAAAACATGTATAAGTTTTTGTTTTGGTTTCTTCACCAGCTTTTATGTGATGTAAATCTTTTTTTTGAACGATTTGTAAGTCTCTAACGAAAACATCATTTGTTGATTTATTAATTTCTTTTTCAATTTCTAACATATATTGTTGATCAATTTTAACTTTTCTAGGATTAAGAATTTCCACTACAAATGGACGTCCATTTCCTAAAGTCCTAACATCTACATCTTCCCTTCCAGAGCTGGAAAATTTAGTACCACTATTTTTTATATAATTAGAAATCGGTTTTTCAATAATTTCTTCCACAGAACTTTCCATTCGTCTTTCTCCATTGATCATCCATGGGGTTTGACTTAAATTTCTCGATAGTTTATTATATCTTCCAGCCACATAAATTGAATCATGCATGCATTGCACTGTTGAAAACTGAAAAAATGTATTTGGAGTTTTCGGGGGAACCGGATAAATATTATCAAATGACTTTAAATCAGTTTCCAGAAGCATTTTTTCAACATTTTTTCTAGTTAAAATTTCTCCATGAAACTTTCTCTTATGATGATTTCTATATTGAAATTCTTCTGGAAACATTTTAAATAATGAAGCAGTTTCTAAATTATCATCATCATAATTTATGTGAATATTTACATGAAAATTACCATCTACTCCATTATTAGCATTTTTTCCTATCATTTTTGCAATTTTTTGAGATGATAACCATTTCCAGACTTCTTTTATAGAAACGACTAAATACTCTTGCTTAATTTCATGAGGATAATATTTATTTTCGAAAAATTCTTTAAATTTATTTATTAAATGTAACCAAATTGATCTACTTCTTATGAGGAAAGAAATGGGCAAAGATAAGGCAAATGTAACATCATCACAATCATATCCACTTTCTATAACACTATTAATAACTGTATTTAACTGCTCACTGGAATCAGATAACTGAAGTAAACCTAAACAAGCTGAGCAAGGATTCAATTTAGTTTTTTTTATCTCAGGTAAGTAATCTTCATCTTGCGCGTTCAATAGTTTTTTTATACGTCCGTCGACATCATTATAGGAATTGGAATTTTTTTCATTTAAATATCTCAATATGCAGTAATTGCACAAATTATTTTTCGCTAAATCTTCAATTATCACTTTAATCATATCGTTTTGACAACCCATTATGAAATAAAATAATAATAAAAAACCTGTAAAAAAAAATTCAGTTTTACTTATATTTTACCAATAGTAAAGTGTTTTTTTTTTAACAAGCTTAGGTTAAAATTTTCTTACTCTTGATTATGTTAAATAATAACAAATTAAATCGCTTTTAACACCTATTTTAAATTACTTGGCACAACTAATAGAAATTTAATAACATTCAAAAAATACATTTTTAAAATTATTTATCTTTAACTAAACAAAATGTTGTACATCAACATGTACAAATATTTTTTAAAAACAATTATTTTATAAATTAAGACAAAGAATATAGGAGTGTAAGAATAAATTTTATATTAGAAATTAAAAAATTAACTATTAAAATAAAAATATAAAATTGCGTTCGATTAAAAAAAAAAAATTAAAATAGCAAAAAAAATAAGTAAAAAAAAAAAAACTTTAGTGTAACAACATTTATTGCAATGGCATGCAATATTGTATGGGTAAATAATTTCCATAGAGTAAATAACATCTATATAACAAATAAAAAAAAAATTCACTATTTTTAAGTTTTATAACAGTTATTATTAACGAAAAGTTTATTTAAAATCGAATCTAATAAGGTAACTTTAATAATTTGTTAATATTTAATTAATTACGTAAAAAAAATCATTCATAATATTTAAATTGATTGATTTTAAAAGTCGTAAAGTTGACGTTAAAATTTAACGAGTACAAAAGTAATTTTTGTTAAAAATATTTTACTAAATTGTGAAACTATTAATAAAAATAAACAAAATTACTTTTATAAATTTTATCTTATTACAAAAATTATATTTAAAAAAAACGTTCGAATTTAATTTAATAAGCTTAAATTATTATTTGCAATTTATTATAGTTCGTTATTAATATCAAGAAACATGTATCTGAAATAATTATACTTCGGACACGACTGTAATTTTTTTTTTTTTTTCAATAATTATTTAAAACTTGAATAAGTTTTCAATTTTATATTAAGGATATTCGATTCGTAATAAAAAAATCCAATTTATCGACTTAAAAATAATTGATTACTTTAAATTAATAAGATAATTATAATTTAATAAGGGTAAAAATCCCTTGTTACATGTTATCAATTCCACCATTTTCTCAGTAGCCCGGCTAGCTCAGTCGGTAGAGCATGAGACTCTTAATCTCAGGGTCGTGGGTTCGAGCCCCACGTTGGGCGATAGTAATAATTTTTTTTTCCAAAAAAACTTCCTATTTTATTACTCCTCGAAAAAAGTAACAAACAACTTAAATAACACGTTATAAAAATAATTCTTTTGTTTAAATAATTATAGGGTAATTATTATTGAATATTCTTTTTTTTTTTAATTTAAACAATTAAATGCAAAACTCGACTTTTAAAAAAAAAAAAATTTTTTTTTTTTAAATTTTGTTCGTTGTTTTTTTTTTATTCTAAATGACGGGAAATGTATTTGCACACCCTATTAAATAAAATAATAATAATAATAATAATAAAAATTTTAGTCAAGAATTCTATTATTAAAAAAGGGAAACTCATCAGTATTCGTTTCTCAGAGGAAAATAAATTTTCTTTTTTTT